CCTGAATCACTTAGGCACAGCTCGGCGTTTAGGGAAACACTTGCGATTTTATTCGTCTATACGAATTATTGCATAGATTTCAGGAGGATGTAATTCAATGATCTGCGTGGCATATTAGCCAGGAAAGTAGTTGTTTTTCTCTCGTTATCTATCATTTTCGTTCATAATATGAACTATTGTGATGTTGACTTTGTACGGAGCTACGAAGCACTGGAAGGGACACATAAAATAAAAAAGATTATCTCTTCAAAATTCTGAGTTATAACTCGTAATTTCGGATGTAAAATTCCGACATATAAGTCGGAGAGAATTATAAAATTCCGTGTTATAACTCGGAATTTTACATCACAGTTCCGACTTATTGCTCGGAATTTCAAAATTCAGAGTTATAACTCGGAATTTTGGATGTTAACTTCCGACTTATAACTGGGAATTCTACATCAAATTCTGACTTATATCTCGGAATTTTAAAATTCCGAGTTATAACTCGGAATATTGGATATGAAATTCCGAGTTATAACACGGAATTTTGAAATTCTCAGTTATAACTCGAGATTTTGAATGTAAAATTCCGAGATATAAGTCAGAATTTCAAAATCCCGAGTTATAACTCGAAATTTCGGATGTAAAATTCCGAGATATAAGTCGGATAATTTCAAAATTCCGACTTATATCTCGGAATTTTAGATCCGAAATTACGAGTTATAACTCAGAATTATAAAATTCCGTGTTATAACTCGAAATTTCACATCAAAGTTCCGACTTATTGCTCGGAATTTCAAAATTCAGAGTTATAACTCGGAATTTCAAAATTCAGAGTTATAACTCTGAATTTTGGATGTAAACTTTCGACTTATAACTGGTAATTTTACTTCAAAATTCCGACTTATATTTCGGAATTTTAAAATTCCGAGTTATAACTCGGAATATTGGATATGAAATTCCGAGTTATAACTCGAAATTTCAAAATTCTCAGTTAAAACTCGAAATTTTGAATGTAAAATTTCGAGATATAAGTCAGAATTTCAAAATCCCGAGTTATAACTCGAAATTTTGGATGTAAAATTCCGACATATAAGTCGGATAATTTTAAAATTCCGAGTTATATCTCGCAATTTTACATCCGAAATTACGAGTTATAACTCAGAATTATAAAGTTCCGTGTTATAATTCGGAATTTTACATCAAACTCCCGACATATTGCTCGGAATTTCAAAATTCAGAGTTATAACTCGGAATTTTGGATGTAAACTTTCGACTTTTAACTGGGAATTTTAATTCAAAATTCCGACTTATATCTCGGAATTTTAAAATTACGAGTTATATCTCGGAATATTGGATGTGAAATTCCGAGTTATAACTCGAAATTTCAAAATTCTCAGTTATAACTCGGAATTTTGAATGTAAAATTCCGAGATATAAGTCAGAATTTCAAAATCCTGAGTTATAACTCTGAATTTTGGATGTAAACTTTCGACTTATAACTGGTAATTCTACATCAAAATTACGACTTATATCTCGGAAATTTAAAACTCCGAGTTATAACTCGGAATATTGGATGTAAAATTCCGAGATAGAACTCGAAATTTCAAAATTCTCAGTTATAACTCGAAATTTCGGATGTAAAGTTCCGAGATATAACTCGGATAATTTTAAAATTCCGACTCATATCTCGGAATTTTACATTCGAAATTACGAGTTATAACTCAGAATTATAAAATTCCGTATTATAACTCGGAATTTCACATCAAAGTTCCAACTTATTGCTCGGAATTTCAAAATTCAGAGTTATAACTCGGAATATTGCATGTAAACTTTCGACTTATAACTGGTAATTTCACTTCAAAATTCCGACTTATATCTCGGAATTTTAAAATTTCGAGTTATAACTTGGAATATTGGATGTGAAATTCCGAGTTATAACTCGAAATTTCAAAATTCTCAGTTATAACTCGGAATTTTGAATGTAAAATTCCGAGATATGTCAGAATTTCAAAATCCTGAGTTATAACTCGAAATTTTGGATGTAAAATTCCGAGATATGTCGGATAATTTTAAAATTCCGAGTTATAACTCAGAATTTTGAAGTTCAATTTTTTTTATTTTATGTGTCTCGATGTGTCCCTTCCAGGGCTTCATAACTTTGAGATTCTCTCCATTTGTTTTGCCAATGAATAAGCAATTTGGTCAAAAGTTACAACGCGCTTTGTTTTGTATGTAACAATATGAATAAAAGTTAGGTACTATGGAAATGGAAATAGTTCTAAATTTCCGTATGGTGGAGTTTCTTTATGTATATCCACGTATATTCGAAATTATACACGCAAGGTAACTTAACTAAATTGAACATTCTGATTGGTTCAAAATCAAACGAAGAAAATAATCACAAGTACAATAAGGCCCAAGCCTTGCGACGCTCGTTTGTTAATATTTCTAATGAATCGTTAATTCAAGGAATATCAACTATTTTCTGTTAAATAATCAGCGTTTTTGGTAGTAGGTAAAATATTGTACGATATTCATATCGTATATTCATATTAAAAATTTCCGTCTCATATCGTTATATGAATCTTTACGATATCTGATAATATTTCACTTTACATAACAGTATATGAGGATTTCCAACAATATGAGGAATGCCAGTTTGAGGAGGGAATCAAAAAAAATCTTTTCAATAAGTAGCATAAATTAATTTGAAATAATATACAATTTGCGACTAATTTGACTAGAATATTGTCCTTGTTATGAACATGAATAGATTTTCATTGCACTTATCACTACTAAAAATTAATAACTATAAGTACAGGGTATCCGGCAAAATATGGAAAAATCATCCTGTATTCATATAGAACCTGAATAAATAAAGAGGGCAAATTCGTATGAATTTTATTGTAGATATGGATCCCTAAAAAGGACGCCGCTAGTAATCGGCTTTTCTTGAATACCTAACACATAGAAGATTATTTATGCCATAGCAGTCAAGAATGAGAAATAATATCCATTAATGCAAGTAGTAAATACTCTATATTTTATTTATGACTGATTTTATTCAAGTCATTATACTTGTGGTTTTTGCAGTATATTATTGTCATAATGATCAGGTCGGCAGCTTACTTGATATTTACTATTTAGCCGTCATTAGTCATAATAATATATATTATACTCATTTCCTTGAAGAGAAATGACTATAGGGATATCTATATATAGTCGTTATCCCCTCTTCAGTCACATAATACATATATTAGACCTAAATATGAGAGACACTATGGTAAAGAACCTCACAAAATATATAGTAGGTATGTCCTTATTGGTAGCTTTCCCAGTTTATCAAGGGTGGACTCTTAGTTCTATTTTGATGCTAACATTTTCAACTTTCTGTATCTTATATTTCAGGTTCTATCTGAATACGAGAGATTTTCCCGTACACCCTGATGTATATTGAACATTATAGGGATTCCCTTTCGTGCGCTCCAAGCGATAAAAAAAAAGAAAACAAATTCAACAGTGGTGAACTATTGAGGTCTAATTGATCGTTAAGTAAAATGTCAGGATTTCTGAGTTTGTTATTGATTTTTAATGATTCAAAATTCCTTTATTCTCTACATGAATAATTTCGAAATTATCATCAAACCCATGTTTTTTTTATTTATAATACATGATTGGCTTATGTTGAATTTGTTTTCTTCTTCAAAACATTTCATCTTATGTTCATGAATGCCCGGATTAAATGTACGACCTGTCTGACTGATATGACTGATAAATACCTTAGGACAAGATCCACAGTTGAGTTTGTATACCCCAGATTTTTGAATTTAGAAGTTTTGTCTTTATTATTTTTGATAAACCTCTCCAACGTTTTATTTGTTCTATATGCTACTTTTAAGTCCTGTTTATGTAGAAATGAAGCTGATTTTTCAGTTGATGATCCGAAATAGGTTAAAGTTCTATAATTTTAATTATTTTTCTTGATGGTAGGATAAACTTCTTGAATAGCTTTATTATGGAGTTTTAAAAAAAAAATACTGCCTATCAAATTAACGTTGTATCTGTTGTTGTCTGCAACCTGTTTTATGATATTGAGTTCTATATTGGAATTTACTTCAGAAAGAGGACATTTACTATAGCCTATGTATCATACTATTATATGCTGCAATTTCATGTTGATAAGGGTGTGTTGAAATATTATGAATAGTGATATCAGTGTGGAAAGGTTTATGGAAAATTGAAAAATCTTTTTTTTTAACACATTGGTAAGTTATATTTTTATATCATATACATCATATTATTTTATCAGATTTGAGAGATGAGGATTTTCATTTTTTATGCTCTCATTTTGGATTGTTTTCTGTTGAATATTCAGAATGATATTATGTCCATATCTTTATATGAAGGAGAATGCAAATTCTCTACTTCAGAAGATTTTGTTTTCAAATTCTTATCCTATATGTTCTATAGATGTTGAGGAAAGTATGTATGGGTGTATGTAAGTATGTATGTGAATGTATTTCTTTATACATTTTTTTAGGTTCATAATTATATCTGAGAATATTCCTTTTCAATTGAAAAACCATGTTTATTATTAATTTCACTTATTGTCAAATCTAAGAAATTGATTGACATTTCTGTTTCTATTTCCATTGTGATTTTTTGTTTGGAAATTTGTTGGCATCTTTAGTCTAGAGAAAGTGCGGCCATATCACAAATGGTGGCAACTTTTGAAAATTTTTGTAGTCAGTGGGCCAGGGCCCTAACAGGATTAATTTCATCAGAACTTTTTTATTTTGCAACTGTTATACCTAAATGTGATTTTCAGCTAAATGGGGTGTATATGTGTTTAATATAGAGACTATCAGGACCATGAGTTCTACATGATGTAGATAAAAAGTCTCACCTTTTAAAACTCCTCATATAGGATATTTACCCATATTATCATTTATCAAATCATAGCAACCCAAATGCAATGACTCCAGTAACCCTACAGGACTGTTATCCAACTTATTCAGTATGTATCACATTATTTATTATTTACAAAATAAGAATCAGATTGAATATAATGTGAATAATATTAGAATAATAGGTATCTATAATAAATGGACTGAATAATATTGTTGTTCCTACTTTTGATAATGTTATTTTACCTATCAACTGACATAGTCTGGAGTTCCCTGTTTGCATAAGGAATCCCATTATTTTGTAAAGAAAACTCATGATTCACAGGGAAACCAGCTACATATTCTAAACTTGGAACACAAATACGTGAATGTGTTTTTATGATATTATGCCAATTAGTAACATTAGAGTTTTTACAATGAAAATAGGAGCCCCATACAGTGGAACATAGAAATTGTTCATCAGGGTGCCACCTTTCACTGAATTCATGTGTTCTTTCAGCTTCTAATTCTTCACAAACAGCAACTGTATCACAATTGCAATGCACATGGGGTGTGTAAATATCCTGAATCAAGTTATCACCTATGTAAACAAAGCTGGGATTTTCAATGTTAGAATGTTTTTTCATGAATTTGGTTAAATCTGTCCAATTTCCCTGTGTATAAATACCACCTAATTTCAATTCTTCTGAAGATACAGGGCTTGTTTCTTTTACTCCAACCACATCATGAAAACTTCTGTTCATATTGAAAAATCCAGGCTTCTTTGAATAACAAATCACAATGTCAAAATAATCCCTCCAGTTTGCACCAATAGTATTGACTGCTGTGTGAGAAGCAAAATCTACATGGGCACCAGTTATCAAGAATAACCGCTTTCCATTATCTTTCAAAGACTGAAGCCATTTCAGTAAGGTACCACTGCACTTATAATAATAATGTTCAGGATGTCTTTTCATTTCTGGAAAGTATTCACCTATATTTTTGCTAAAATGGTCTCTATCAAACATATAGACTAGAGAATCAAGTAGATCAGGCCAGATATGGTACATTGGCTTAGGCTTCTCATAATTATTTGTAGTGGAAGATTCTAGAGCATCCACAGCTCTTGCAAATGCCAGACTGATGGCAATATCAAAATAGTCCAACAAAGTTCTCATTTTCTCAGAATTTGGGCCATTCCAAGTTTGTAGAGGGTCTTGGATAAATAGGTCAGTAACTTTCCAGTGACGATCTGGATAATAGTTCAATATCTCATCATTATTCAACCACTTAGTGCCATGTGTAGCTTGAAGAATTGAACCATCTGGAGATATCCTCAACAGGTTTCCTCGTTCATCATCTAGTATCAAACCTTTAATAATGAAATTGTGGTCAAAGGGCTTCAATAGGAATTGTTCTGAGTATCCTTTTTGTTTCACCAGGTAATTTGAGATTATCTTATATTCCATTTCAATCATATTGCCAACTTTATATCGCGCTAAGGTATTATCTAAATCGAAACCAATGCAGTCATATTTGGAGAAACTGAACTTTGGCATATTTAACATTGTTCCTTTGGATTTCAGTGCACCCATTTTGTTTTGAATTTGATGATAAACATAACCTAACCTATATGATATGTGGCAACTGACGTGCAACATTGTACATTAGTCATTCAGAACTGGGTGCGTACTACATCCATCATTTTGGCTTCCAATGAACGAATGGTGATGGTGCAGAGTAGAGTCCCTGTATGTATTTAACAGTTTTGCTTATTACAGCAAAACTCTAGTGCTGAGATGGTGTTCTTATGCTCGGTACAGATGACTGCTTTTCGCATCAGCAATAACAGAAAGTTCGTTTCAAGGTCAATATGCTAAAAATATTCAGAACATTTTATAGAAAAAACAGATATTTGTCTAGTTTAACCCTAAAATAGTGAATGTGAACAGTCCGCGCTTCATTATTCATCTTTCCGCAGTAAGTTGTAAGCTGTCATCTGTACCCACCATTAGTCAAGGCTGATTGCCTTGGTTACATAGGTCAAAACTGACGACACCTGGTAGACGACACTTGTAAGGTTCTTGTTATTCAAATGACGTTGAAGACTCTGACCCCTGAACACCCTCAATATTCATAAACTAAACAGGTCACCCCATAATTTTGCTTTAACATTCATATTATGATTCCATGAAACATCCATGATAACTTCACATCGCTAGCATCGTCAAAGCCAAAATCGCCCAGCAATAAACTAGAGTCACTGGATGTTATTAATACCATCCAGTGACTCTACAATAAACTAAGCTTGATGTTAACAGAGAGACATAGAAATAAATCAAGTTTAGCAGGTATAGAAAGCTCAAACGAACAGGCCTAAATATTTCTATTTGTACTATTTCCTGCATTCGATGAACACGCCTTTAGCACTCATGGAACAAGAGGAGAGGCCCATGCCCGTCCCTAACTGGGCCCAATCCCCTACCCCATCAAGTCATAATGCAACTCATATTTGATGGTTTATTCATTTCTGGATTTGCTAGGATAGCCAGATCCAAAATTATCCGAGAGACCGAAAGTCAAAAGTCCGAATAATCAAGCTTTGTGGGATCTCAACAAAAATGACAAATGACAGGATTATCTGAAAAGAAAAGGCAAAGGAGTCTAGAGAAAAGAAATGAAAGAAGAAGATGTAGAATAAGAATAAACCCAGCATTCCTTATGACAACTGAAATTTCCTAGTGCAGAAGTGGTGAAAGATTGAAATAACTGTAAAGTGATTATTTTTGACAGGTTCCTCAGGGGGTATGAAAAGCTTTCAGTCCCACTGAAGTGGACCCCCATTGAGGATAAACTTGAGGAGGCGTGTACTTAGCCAGATAGCCCAGGCAGCTAAGGCCATTCAAATTGAAGGGAAGAAGAAGATTCTGACAACTGAAAAGTGAAAACTGAAAGTGACAGTCAGTGTCAGTACTGAGACTGACAGTTGCAGGTGTTTGAAAGTTGAAACTTGCTGAAACTGGCTGAAACTTCAGAAAAACTTGAAAGTATGAATTATGAAAGAAAATAAAAAATGTTTACTTCGTAGAATGAAAATCAACAAATACCTCTGTCATAATGCCAGAATATTCCTGAGAAAATGTATCTAATTCTAAGAAAATGTGGCACTTAGCATTAATTCGTTTTTTGAGACGAAGAATTGTCCTAGGTCTCATCCTCTTGTTATCATTTTGTTATTGTTTTTATAGCTACTCTTCCAAGGTAAACAAACAATACTTTTTAACTAAGTTGTTTATAGTGGTTGATTTTAAGGGAGATTTTCTCGATAGCGACGATGTAATACCCATTCGCAGAACACAACCATTCATTTGGCGAACGCTTCAGCAACATAATGCCTCCAGAGATGCAGAATCTACTTGTCGCAACTCTGTGCAAGGAAAAGTGCTGATAGTTGATGATAGAGGTAAGACGTTTGAAAAGATTGATTTGTAACTAGGTTGAGTTCAAAAGGTTTAGACTTTTGAACAGATTGATTTGCAACTAGGTTGAGTTAAGACTTTTGAACAGATTAATTTGTAATAAGTTCCTTAGTTTTGCTTTGAGAGTTCAATGTAAATTATCAAGGACCATACAGTGTTATCAGTATAATATGGAATGATTGGCTAGAATAACAGATTGCTATTGGATGAGACAATGGAAACCTTTCATTTTGACATGTGAGAAAAATAATCACAATAAACTATCCAAAAGTAGTAGGTATTCTGTTAAAATTTTAGTATTTGATACAAATAACAATTGAAATGTTTGAAATTTGATTCTACAAGGAAATATAATGTGGAAATGTGTCTCATTGATTTGTTATTCTATGTTATTGCTGAAAAAATAGTGTATGCAACATGTCCAAAAACAGTTTTTTTGGACTGGCAGACTTACAGGACTAGCCTTTAATTATATCTACTCCTACCAAAAAAAAAACAAAAAAAAAAAACAGTATTTTTCTGACATTCAGTAAATTACTAATTTGCCAAAGTTGAAAAAAAAAATTGTGAGATGTGAGGAAATAGTTATTTTTGTATCTAGAGCGCGAAATGCAACTTTGGTGATCGAGATCTGATTTTTTTAACGAGGCGTAGCCGAGTTGAAAAAAAAGTCGAGATGACCAAAGTATTTCGCGCTCGAGTTGCAAACAAAATTTTTTCTGCAAACGTCAAAAAATATAGTTCTAAAGTAAAAATATGCTTAACTTGATATAAAAAATAGTGTTGAACTGGCTTGAAAGGTCTCCCCCTATCCTCCCTAGGTACGCACGATGTTCCACGAACATAATAGGAATTTCCTTTCATGCGCTCCAAGAGAAAAAACAAAGTTATTGTTGAACATTCAGAAATAAATGATTTTGTGGATGTCTGCTCGATTGAGGACCATAAAGTTGAAATATAAATATCTCATTTATTTTACACAACAATGCGCGAAGTAGGTACTTCGCGCACTGTTTTACTTCGCGCATTGTTCTGTGCAAGGAATGATGGTAACGTAGGAAACTGAAAAAAAGTGTCACTTCGCAATTTGTTATCAATGCGCGAACCTTGTCATTTTTTGACGTTTGTAGAAAAATATCTATTTTATATTCTTACCATTTTCTTAGATCTGACACTGATTGAAAGAATAGAGTTTACTAGATTCATACTCAAGAGAAATACAGGGTGTTTCATATTTAAATCAGGAGACTTGGATAATCACAAAAATAAACAGAAAAGTTCATATAAACTTATATGATTAGAAGCTTAGATTTCGAAATACAGGGTGTTTATGTTAGAAATAGTATTTGTCCAACAAAGAAAAATCTCAAATTTGTCATGACAAGTTTTAATGGTAGATGGTTGCAGTCAATCCTGCTTCATCAATTTTGAGACATGTTTTGACCATTAAAATGGTCATCATCAGGAATTGTAAATATAAAGGATTGATTGCATCCATTCACCATTAAAACTTGTGGAGATGGCTGAGATTTTTCTCTGTTGATAATCCTCCTCCACTTTGAGTATGGACTACTTCAGAATAATATTAATCTTTTTCCATTATCGATTAACAAATCCCCAAAATCTCCAAATTAAACTCATTATGGCTATCCAGTGATCTCAATATGGATGTCTTGAATTACTCTACATTAGAATTTGGATCTATAACTTACTTCAAATTGAGACTAACCATTTTCAAAATGGGAATAAACATCTTTGAATTGGGACTAAATGATTCAGCATGGATTTAACACATTCAAATTGGGACCAATCCCTTTCAAAATGGGAATAACCGAATTCAAATTGGGACAAAATGACTAGGCATGGTATAAACAAATTCAAACTAAACAAATTCCAATTGAAACCAATCAATTTCTAATCGGAACTTTTATATACCTACAATATGGAATTGTTTTCTCCGGTAGTGAATCTGTTGGGTGCATAGCGTGATTATTCCCACCATGCCCACATGGTGGGAATCCAAGGAAGGTGGGCATGGTGGGTATCCAAGTAAGGTGGGCATGGTGGAAATTGGGCATCCTAGGAATTGGGCATCGTGGGAATATATGGAAAGTTCACATGGTGGGAATCCAAGGAAGGTGGGCATTTTGTGGTTTCCAAGAAAAGTGGGCATGGTGGATATTGGGCATCGTAGGAATTGGGCATCGTGGGAATGTATGGAAAGTGGGCATGGTGGGAATCCAAGGAAGGTAGGCATGGTGGGTATACAAGAAAGGTGGGCATGTTGGAAATTGGGCATCGTAGAAATTGGGCATCGTGGGAATGTATGGAAAGTGGGCATGGTGGGAATCCAAGATAGGTGGGCATTGTGTGGTATCCAAGAAAGGTGGGCATGGTGGAAATTGGGCATCGTGGGAATGTATGAAAAGTGGGTATGGTGGGAATCAAAGTAAGGTGGGCATTGTGTGGTATCCAAGAAAGGTGAGCATGGTGGAAATTGGGCATCGTAGGAATTGGGCATCGTGGGAATGTATGAAAAGTGGGCATGGTGGGAATCAAAGGAAGGTGGGCATTGTGTGGTATCCAAGAAAGGTGGGCATGGTGGATATTGGGCATATCGTAGGAATTGGGCATCGTGAGAATGTATGGAAAATGAGCATGGTGGGAATCCAAGGAAGGTGGGCATGGTGGGTATCCAAGAAAGGTGGGCATGGTGGAAATTGGGCATTGTAGGAATTGTGCATCGTGGGAATGTATGAAAAGTGGACATGGTGGGAATCCAAGGAAGGTGGGCATGGTGGGTATCCAAGTTAGGTGGGCATGGTGGAAATTGGGCATCGTAGGAATTGGGCATCGTGGGAATGTATGAAAAGTGGGCTTGGTGGGAATCAAAGGAAGGTGGGCATTGTGTGGTATCCAAGAAAGGTGGGCATGGTGGAAATTGGGCATCGTGGGAATGTATGAAAAGTGGGCATGGTGGGAATTAAAGGAAGGTGGGCATGGTGGGTATCCAAGTAAGGTGGGCATGGTGGAAATTGGGCATCGTAGGAATTGGGCATCGTGGAAATGTATGAAAAGTGGGCATGGTGGGAATCCAAGTGAGTGGGCATTTAAAAAATATTGACTTTGATGTATTCTGTTAGCACTGTTAGCAGAAAGTCATGTTATTTATAAGGAACAAATTTATAACATGGTGCATTATTATTCTTAAGTATGTCTTTATTCAAAAAATCTGAAAAAAAATCTTTGAAAAATTGAGACAGAAAAATAGTTATTTATTGAAAAAGGGAAAAAAGTAGATTTTAGCTCCAGGTGAGCTCCACCGTGAGCTAAAATCTCATATTTTTCTCGTGTATAATTAGTTATTTATTATACAAGGGAAAAAAGTAGTAGATTTTAGCTCCAGGTTGTGTTGTCTCCCGACGCGTAGCGGAGGGAGACAAAAAACCGTGAGCTAAAATCTAATATTTTTCCCGTGTATAATACACTATTTTTTTCTGTGACAGAAGGAAGGACGAATCAATATTGGAAAGATATTACATTATTTCGAAATCTGAAAATTATCGACGTGAAATTTCAAGTTTTTAACAGTAGGGACACCTGCGTTTTATAGACATCTTTATCATTCTTTTGAAGTAATCAAATATCTGATGTCACTTCTGTCAGTTCAATTCTGTGATTTGATTTTAAAAAATTGCGAATTCAGTAGTTGTTTAGTAATATACGAAACCGCGAAGTCGAATGGAAGATAAAAGGACTTGCAGTTCTTTCTCGGAGACGGTATTATTGACTTATATTTCGGAACTATAGCACAACAAAAGCCATTAACAGAGTATATATATGTGATATATATCCGGGAAAGAAGTACTCACTTTTTTCCCACGGGAAAAAAGTAATTTATGAAAAGTGACATTTTATAACCTGCCAACAGAGATGAAATGCCAAACTTTTTTCCCGTCACAGAAAAAACACTATTTTTTTCTGTGGCAAAAAAAAAGGCGAATTGAGAAGATATCACATTATATTGAAATCAGGAGATTATCGACTTTGAAGTTTTTAACAGGAATGACACCTGCGTTGCAGATATCTTTTTGCAGGCATCTTCATCATTCTTTTGAGGTAATCAAATAAATTGCGAATTTAGTGGTTATTTTAGTAGTTTACCTACGGCCACTATAGAAAGTAGGCAAGAACACACGAGATACAGCCTCAGTAAGTAGTTCTTTACGCACGGTAAGCACATCGCACAGTTTTCGTTTATTCCCAGTCATTATCGCGTAATCGCCGTCAACAGCGGATAACAGAACTATCAAGAATTATAATTCAGACTGTTTGTCCAAACTTTTTTGATGTACTATATGGCTTCGCGACTGCGTGCGTAACATCCATTACATGACCGCGAAATCGAATGGAAGATAAAAGGACTTGCCGTTCTTTCTTGAAAACACAACAAAAGCCATCAACAACACATCATATGTGATATATATCAGGAAAAAAAGTTCTCACTTTTTTCCCGTGGGAAAAAAGTAATTTATGAACAGTGACATTTTATAACCTGTCAGCAGAGTTGAACTTTTTTCCCGTCACAGAAAAAACATAATAAATCCCATCACTTCGATCAATGTACCATTTATTTTGAACGCTGTACATACCAACACCTACCTCCTCTCCCTATCCTCCCCAGGTACGCACGATGTTCCACATTATACGAATTTCCTTTAGTGCGCTTCAAGAGATGAAAAAAATATACCTACTTCTTGATGATTTATGAATAAATCTCCCAGTCTACACCTATCTATTGTTATTTAGTCCAAGGATGTGTCAATAATAGTGAAATCCTTCTGACATTTTTAGGATATGTGTGTCCTCGTCACGAAGTCCTTGAAAATGGTTGCTGTAATGACGCCATTTCGGGTGTGCTTCAATATCCATGTGATACGTGCAAACCAAATAACTGCTGTGCAATTTACGAATATTGCATTGCTTGCTGCCTTCATCCAGATAAGGTAAATCGAATATTAGTACATTTAACCAACTTGTAGTGTATTAATGAGGCCCATTATTAATGATCGAGATATTTTAATGTGCGAGCAAAGCGTGGAATGTGGAATGATATTAACATCACCTGCAAAGTGGAATGTGGAGGGAGAGGAGATAAAACATGATAGAGATAACAAAAGAGAAATTGAAAAATCCACTTGCATTCTTCTGAATGGAGATAATAATATACGTAACATATATATATGGTACATATTTCGATTTCCCCAATTTTCGATTCACCCAATCGATCCAAACATTAATATTGAATTCTTGTTGATAGTGTCTAGCTTTAATGGCATGTGGGTTTTCATCAGCATATACAATATACATGCTCATTGTGCAGGCTCGTCATGCCACGACGTGTAAAACAAGAATCATCAGTAGAAACATTTTTTTTGTGAAATCTGTTGTTAAGTGGTCTGCGCTCCCGAAGAATCCGTGAAAAATTTAAACGTGATCCGTGGTCAACGTCAACAACAAACTTGATGACAGTAAATTCATTTCCTGTCAAAATCACGACTTGCCTTCGTTTCCACTGCCAACTAAATTTTAATCACAATTTAATTGAACTTGCCAAATTGCCAAATTTTACCAAATTCGTTTCACTTATATTTCCGGATAGCGTACAAAAATATGTTTTTTATGTGAACTTTGAATCCTTCTCACAGACAAACGGTAGAGTTTGGCACATAAATAAATTGGGTCCAATCAACCTATTTTGACCTCCTCTACAAGTGGTAGCTCTGTGTCCCAACCATTTTGGGACACCCTGTATATCTTGGGAGCAAAGGTCCGCTACGCGTCGGGCATCAAACTTCGCACGCGGAAGAAAATGGATACCTTTGCTCCCGTGATATATAAATACTCATTTACTCATTACAAAAGAAAAATGAAAGAAACAACACACGTTCGACCACACTTTATATAAAAACTTCCTTAAAAAGTTAACGGCTTCGGCACTATGGCCATGTTAATTTATTTAAAATTGTATGCTAAATTCAGATTAACTTTTAATATCATTCGTTCCTCCTATCTATAACTCTATTCATTTTTTCGGAAATTATACTTACAGGATTGCCAAAATTTTTAAGAAGTATAACATTGGTATTTCTTTTAAAACAACTTCTAATCTCAAACATATATTCGTTAATTCCAAGGACAAGATGCCTCTCAACAAAAAATCAGGTGTTTATGAATTGATCTGCAATGATTGTAATGTTGCTTATATAGGACAAACAGGAAGAAGTTTTGATATTCGATTTTCTGAACATAATATACTCATTAGTAAATTTTTGACCGCTGTTGACCCTAATTGCCTATCTTCCGTTGCCAATCATATTATAGATTTCAATCATTCTTTTGATGTTGTCAGTAATTCTGAAATTCTTCATATCTGTGATAAAGGTCCTAGATTAAATCTGCTTGAAATCATGGAAATTCAAAAATGCATCAACAACCAGAATGTTTCATGTCTCAATGATCAAACCAATTTTGAACGTAACCACATTTTCAGGACTTTGAAATTTTCATGACTCTTTATTGGTGTTCCCCTTTTTTACAGTTACTGCTCCGCCTCTGGATATCTTATTGTCTAATCCTCCCTCCCTTCTTCTCATTTCTCTGCTACACTTTCCACTCTTTTTGTTTTATTCTCTTCTTCTTTTTCTTTGATCTGTTTCCTACATGCTCAGTTTTCTTCTCTGCAGCTTTTTTCTTTTTGATGCTACCTCAAGATCTGTTGTGTCAGTTTAGCACATGTCACTCACTAATTTTTGTTTAGTGTCCGACGTGTCCAACGTCAAAGTCAGTTTCCTTTCATAATTGTCAATTTTTACAATTTCAGTTCCTTTTAGTACTGACGGCAAACTGATGCTGATGTTCAACCTTATCAGATCCAGTTTTTTCTAGCTCTTCAGTAAATTTAAAAAAGTTATAGAAATGCTACAGATTCTTCCAACCCATTGACGAAAATCGTTAGCTGACCATGATTTATTGGTATTATTAGGTACCATTGTCTGATGATGGCCGTAGTGCTGAAACCAGTAACTTTTTAAGTAAGTTCTTATATAAAGTGTGGTCGACCGACTTTGTGTTGTTTCTTTCATTTCTCTTTTGAAATTACATTGGATTACTTTGAGATATGGATGATTTTCATGATTCAAATACCTATTTCTTATTTTTTTCCAGCGTGAGGTGTTGGAAACCGTCCTGAGCAAGGCGAGCGAGATGAACAACGTTCTGTTCGCGTCAGTGACAGACCATTTCGAATTGTGCCTGGCCAAGTGTCGCACCAACTCGCAGAGCGTTCAGCACGAAAACTCCTACAAGGACCCCAGGGCCAAGCACTGCTACGGAGATCTGTCTTCGGCCAACAGTTTGGACAACGAAGTTTGATGGAATGCTTACATTAGTTTGCAGTAATTATACCAAATTTTCGTTATTATCGACATTATTTACAACAAATATATTCCATTTAAGAATTTGATTATGCATGACGAATTACCTCGAACATACCCGAAGGAGGCACTGTTGCCAAATACTATCCTATATACCAGAATTCAATGAAACTGTCGTTGTGGGCCAATCAACACATTGCGTATCCTCAGGACAACCATCGAAGGTGGGAAAATCCCTCTCAACGGTTTGCCTAGCAATGATTTTATTCTGGGCAGAATGATCTGGACTAATACTCTGAACCAAATTAGGAAACGTTTGACAACTTAATATCTTTATTCTCAGATGGTGGACTATTGTTATTACCCTTTTCAGAAAATTTAATGACATTGTCATTGTGACTTTTGTTAACGACAAACTCACCTTTAGTAGACCTCGCTTTCGAAATCTCGGGTTGATGCAGATTTCCCGGATGGCCTAGGTTCCCAGGATGCTGCAGTTCCTTTACCCATTCTTCCGTCGCTTCTGCCTAGATTTTCTCACCGTCGTCTCCTCTCTCTGCTTCCTGGAGTTCTCCGGCTACCCCTGCTTCCATTATCTTCGCTTCTTGCAACTGCCGCTCCAATTCTAGTAGACGTAATTCATATTCAATCGCCTTCTGCTGCAGCTCTAGTTTCTGTCTTGTCTTCTCGGTCTCTACTTCTAATTCTACCTGCTTCTTGCGAAATCTCAAACTGGCCTGGGAATTCGCACTTATCACAGACCTGGTATCACTATGAGCTCCATCAACATCTCCATGGACTGCACCGTAATTGAAATCCATCACTACTGACCTGCTGTCTTCAAGGATTTTCGTCATGGTAGTTAGATGTTTCCTTTCGAGATTTCTACTAAATCCGCTACGCCAGACATAATTCATGGACAAACTTCTGTTGATTCCTGTTCCATTTCTCGTACTTTTCCTTAGGTTTTCCATCGCTTGATTATCGTATCCGGCTCGAAGGACCAGTTGTTGTTTCGTTTCAATATGAAATTCTGTTATACTCGTATTTCTAATAAAATTCGTATTCTTTTACAAGTTCAATCCAAATCTTATCTTTTTATTTCAACAACATTCCTTTTTTTACAATGTCAATCTAGATATCAAATTGTGTCAAAACATATAAACATCTACAGGATGTAAAACATCTACAGTATGTAACAATTTAAAACAAATATGCATGTCGAATTACTCCTCTTTGAATCCATTTTGGAACCAACATTGTCCACACTCTTGCCAACAGTTTGAATAACGAAGTTTGATGGAATGCTTACATTAGTTTGCAGTAATTATACCAATTTTTTTTTATTTTCGACATTATTTACAACAAATATATTCCATTTAAGAGTTTGATTATGTATGACGAATTACTCCTCTTTGAATCCATTCTGGCAGCAACATTGTCCATTCCCTTTTGCCAACAGTTTGGACAACGAAGTTTGATGGAATGCTTACATTAGTTTGCAGTAATTATACAAAAATTTTGTTATTATCGACATTATTTACAACAAATATATTCCATTTAAGAGTTTGATTATGTATGACGAATTAATCATCTTTGAATCCATCTTGGCACTAACATTGTCCATACTCTTCTGCCAACAGTTTGAATAACGAAATTCAACGGAATGTTGGCTGGAATCTTATTTGGAAATTGAGAGACAATTTTGTTTGATTAGTTTGCAGTTTTATCTTCGTTCTTTGTTGCAGTAATTGTACAGGGTCTTCACGTATATTTCGAACGGATACAGGGTGGTGAAAAGTGATGGCCCTATATTTGTTCCAATTCAATGTTAGTAGATTGTGAATCAAAAGTTGGGATAGGCACATGAAAACCGTTTTGGCCAATAATGAAGAATTTCTAGACAAAAAAATTCCTAGAGCTGAAAATATCTCTATTGTCCACACCATATATCTGTAATCATTTCAGCTAGGCCCCAAAGTGATAGATCGATGAAATTAGCTCTTCAGGGAGAATCTGAAAAAGCAATAAAATATTGGATGTCCTATTTAAAAATTTATAAATGTTTCCCATGAATATTTTTTGAGATGTTCTACTGTTTTTCTGTTGGCATTTATGAAATCTACAGAAAAATATTGAAGAACGTTCTTTGAAAAACGACATTATTTACGAAAAATATATTCCATTGCCTTAATTATTTGCACGAGCCACAATAGACCCATCTGGGGTCGCGGTGGAGGGGAGGTGTTCGCCCCACTCACATGGAACCTAACCTAATTATTTGCACTATTATTCAATAATTTATTAATGTTGCCATAATTATTTTTTGAGAATTTCAATTGTTTTCCTGTTGGCGTATATAAAATATACAGAAAAAGATTCGAAAGAACGTTCCTTGAAAAAAAATTCAACAATACAAAAAAAGTTGAGAGGAGGTTCAAAAATACTGTGAAGACCATGTACCAAATTATAGCCATTATCGACATTATTTACATAAAATATATTCCATTGCTCTGATTATTCACACTAACAAGGTGATTCACATGTGAAACGTTGAAGCCAAATTTGGCCTTAGTTCTTGGCTGGTTCGTACGCGGCGCTAGCAAAATAAACTGATGCTCAACAAACACATGAAACGTAAAAACGCATTTTTTCGATCAAATTTGGATCAGAATAACTTTCAATTTCCTCAACCGATTTTCAATTATTTTTTCAGTTTCTGAAAGCTCGTTTTATTGACTATCGAACCTATGGATATGACTATTTCATCTTCTCCAGATGAGATTCTACAGGATGATAATCAAAGCTGTAAGCTGTGCATTATCCCAAAAATTTCAAACAACTCCCGTTCGAACGAAAAAAAGTTTTTTTAGGGTCAAAAACATATTGGTTCATATGTTTTCTCGATACTGTAAATTTTTTTTGAAATTGTCACACGCGCTACTGAAATATGAATGTTTTAATATGATAATATTACATAATTTGATGCTGTAATTTCTATTGGCTTTGTGTTCTTGTCAATCTTGTTCGAACGGTGATCAAAAATCTTGAAATGATGCATGATCAACCTATTCTTATATACAGGGTGGTCCTCAAACAACAATTATGTCATCAAGTAATAAAAAAAATCTTGTTTTGACGAGCAAGAAAATTTCGAAGCAGAAAACCGATTGAGAAGTTTTCTGGCGATCAAAGCGTGTAGGTGAGGTTGTAATCACCATGTCAAGTTTCTACAGAATCTATTGCAAGATCAAACCACTGGAATTGTTAGAAAAACCGGATCTTCAGAGCGTCGTTCTCTCTTTGTGATAGATTTCAAGGCAAATATGATAGACTGAAGAAATATTGTGATGAAAAGTTGGAAGTTTCAAGAAAATAAAGAAGATTACTTCCCAGAATTCATAATTTTGTCAAGTGTTCTGCACTAATTCAATGATGGAGAGGTACTTGACATCTACTTTGTTTTTAATTAAAGTTGAGAAAGTATTTTAGGATGCGGACAAGTTGTAAACAAAGACAAACCAACTTATCAGATTCAACCTCCAACAATAATTTAATAATAATATTATTTCATATTCATATTGGGAATGCACCCGTTCACATTTTGGAGAGAACCAATGTAGTGCGGGTGCAAAACTGGTGCAAAACTAGTGCATCACCAGGTTCACGAATGGAATTCGCTGATAAAACTAATGGAAACATATTTCGTAAGAATAGGAAACATAATCTTATTGAGATATATCGAAGACTGGAACCTTTGGCACGATAATACACTACACTGTTTTACCACTAACCAAACCGATTTTTCAACGCCTCGACACGTGTTTCGCTAACTATGTTAGCATCTTCAGGAGAATATTAAAACTAAATATCCTATTCTAGTGTGCTGCTTATATACTAGGTATATGTTCACCCAACTGTGAAAAATACTAACCGTCAAGTTAATGTTTGTCATGGTTGAGTTCACATGTTAATCTTAATTTTTATTTTACTAAACTATATAGAGGGCTATATGGAATAGGTCCATTATCCTTATTCATTACTCTATTACTATTCTTAAATATCTCTAAGCTTTCATATGCGTCTAGTTTTCTAATGTTATTAACTTGCTTAACTAATTTGAGGTTAGTAATATGTGTGTTATGATTGTGATTGAACATATGTTCGGCTACACAAGATTTATCTAACCTGCCATATTTTAAATGGGCTATGTGTTCTTTAAACCTTGTTTTTATGGGTCGCCTGGTTTGGCCTATATATGTTTTATCACAATCATTACAACTTGTGATAAAACATATATAGGCCAAACCAGGCGACCCATAAAAACAAGGTTTAAAGAACACATAGCCCATTTAAAATATGGCAGGTTAGATAAATCTTGTGTAGCCGAACATATGTTCAATCACAATCATAACACACATATTACTAACCTCAAATTAGTTAAGCAAGTTAATAACATTAGAAAACTAGACGCATATGAAAGCTTAGAGATATTTAAGAATAGTAATAGAGTAATGAATAAGGATAATGGACCTATTCCATATAGCCCTCTATATAGTTTAGTAAAATAAAAATTAAGAATAACATGTGAACTCAACCATGACAAACATTAACTTGACGGTTAGTATTTTTCACAGTTGGGTGAACATATACCTAGTATATAAGCAGCACACTAGAATAGGATATTTAGTTTTAATATTCTCCTGAAGATGCTAACATAGTTAGCGAAACACGTGTCGAGGCGTTGAAAAATCGGTTTGGTTAGTGGTAAAACAGTGTAGTGCATATTGAGATACCGTAAACAAAAATTGAAACTCTTTGGTGAATCAAATGAAATTCAAATGAACTTCATACTTAAAATGTAGGTATATACGTACAGTCGTATTAAAAAAAAGCGTACAAGTATATTGCAGGGAGAAATTAAAGTTATCATATTTGCGTAAAACGAGCTATCGGGAATGAATGTCTACCAAATGTTGACAGTAGAGTAATCATAGGTTCCCAAAAACACAAAACATTGGATGAGCCATTCTTACACAGCGAGAACTAGAATGCCGAAATCTTCTATGTTTAATACTTGTACGCTTTTTTATTGAATACGACTGTACATACCTACCTATATA